GCTGGACGACAGTCAGAATATTAAGATTTAATCAAAGACTTTATGGTGAGGCTTTCATGAAGGGAAAATAAATCTGTCCTTGAAGGTTGAAATTAGAAAACGGCGTCGTTGTCGATATTGTCATTTAGGTTGAGACCACAATGTGTGTGTATGAGAGAGAGAGAGACGGGGTGGAGGCTCAAAGCCACATGATGCCTGACCTTCTGCACTACCATTTGACCTTTAGCACGAGACCAAACCCTGAAACATCCCTCAACAACATATAAGGAAGACCTCAACCTACTTGCTCTGACGGGGAGTATCACACAGACAACCACAAAGTGAAGATAAACAATTGTGGTTACTGTTGGTCTGTCAAGGAGAGATAGAGACCAGCCAGACCTCCAGGTAACTTAACCAGGTGAGGTAAGACTCAGAATGTAACCCCGTGTGTCTTCAGTATTCGTTTAAACACAAAATGAAAAAAAAAATGTCTCCCCTTGTACCACTAACTCATGTACATTAATTAACAAATAACAGTAGGTTTGTCATCGTTAAATTCTCGTCTGTTTCGTGTATAGATTTACAACCTCATGGACATATTAGCATCCTAGTCTGACGTCACAAGTTGCATATTATTAACGATGGTGGTTTAATTATTAGCGATAGTTTTAATCTGGTGTTCGTTTAGCGTTGGAGTGAATATTAATGTACCGATTTGATTCTTTCATCTTTAACACAATCCTCAATTATTTCCTTCACTTTCTGGGGAGTTAAATCACCTTGTTAGTCAGTATGAGTTATATTGGAACTACGTGAGGAAGTTTAGGTTAGGTTAGGTTAGGTTAGCTGAGGTTAGGTTAGGTTAGATTAGGTTATGTTCGGTTAGGTTAGGTTAGGTTAGGTTAGGTTAGGTTAGATTAGGTTATGTTCGGTTAGGTTAGATTAGATTAGGTTAGGTTATGTTTGGTTCGGTTAGGTTAGATTTGATTAAGTTAGATTAGGTTAGGTAACACGTCTTAACCTAGTGCATTTTAAGACTGAATACTTAAAAGGTTATTAACACGTGTCAAAGCTAAACCACCCAATGTTCAAGATTGCTGAAACGTTTACTTAACAACCAGACCTGAGGCGGTGATGAACAGCAAAACCGAGCCTCCAATCCCCCCCGCCCCTCTACCCCCACCACAACCACCCCAATCTACCCCACCAACCACCCCAGATTCCCCCCCACCAATCCCACACCTCTCCTTCCCCCAAATCACCCCCAATAATATCTTCCCTCCTTCCATCACTACGTCTTCCAGTAATTGTTCTGTCTAGTACCGTCCATCCATACCAGATATCATATTCTATTTGTCTTGTTCTATACTCTGTCAGGTTACAGGTATTTTTCTAATGGGTGTCTTTAAATATCTTACCTATTCTTCTTTTTTCTTGTTCTTCTTCTTCTTCCTTTCTTTCCTCCTCCTTCTCCCCTCTTATTCGTCTTCTATATTTACACATCTTATCTCTTCCTCCTCCTCCTCCTCTCTCTCTCTCTCTCTCTCTCTCTCTCCTTCTTGCGTCAGTCTCAACACGTCGTAAGATTCGATTCTCTTGTTGATATAAACTTCATTGACTCAACAAGGTATTACGGGAGGATTTTCTTTATTATTATTATTACTGTTTTTTTCTTCACACGTAATAATGATAAAGCTATCTCAAGACACGTGTCGGTTCAGTGTGGGTCTTAGGGCTTTGTCGGGTCCTCAGAGAATGGAGCTCCTCTTAGTAATGGGGAGACAACAAGATATAAGACTGAGACACACACACACACACACACACACACACACACACACACACACACACACACACACACACACACACACACACACACCACATAATCGCATCACAGTCCCAAACAGAGATAAGTAGATTCTCCTTCACTGAAAGACACTTAGGGGTGTGTATGTGTGTGTGTGTGTGTGTGTGTATGTGTGTTTCAAATAGTTTACATGAGATCTAACTAGACATCCCTCACTTCATTGTACCAGTGAATAACGAGTCATCACTATTCACTATTTCACTCTACTAATTAACTAAACAAGCAAACAAATAAAATTATCCCAACACTAACAATATTTAAAACAATATTAACTAAAAAATAAATAAAAAATAAACTAACTATATTAACTTCAATTATTAAAGCAAGTAAAACAAAAAAAATAAGTGACCTTCATTGCCTTTGATGTGCAGTATAATATATATTTCCCGGATAAATTTAACCGAATATCCGAAAAAAAAAAAATATATCCTATGTTGGCACAAAAGGTCACTAGCCGCATGTAATAATCAGTTTGATCCTTGAACAATACAATAATTCTACCGTAATTGGCAGCTATAACGGTGCTTGTTATTTTTATTTGTTAATACTGTATGGTGGCCTCATTACTCTGCCCACATACATACATACATACATACATACATACATACACCGCCGGAATAAACACAGACTTAAGCGTGTTCGAATTTCTTGAATAATAAACCTCGTCGGGAAATTTTAGCTAGACGTAAACAAACCGCCACCTTGACGAACACAAACGGTGGTGACCTTCCAATCTCACAAGGCCAATCTCAGAAAGCTAATCTCACACCCGGGAAGCTAATCTCACAAGGACAAACTCAGAAAAGCTAACCTCACAAGGCCAAACTCAGAAAAGCTAATCTCGGAAAGCTAATCTCAGGTCAATCTTGGAAGGCCAAACTCAGAAGGCTAATCTCAGAAGGCCAGTTTTAAGAAAAGACAAAAATATAATTGAAAACAAAAATCTCTCTCTCTCTCTCTCTGCTATAGTTATCATGGTCAATTATCTTGTCCTTGAAAAAAAAAAACTGGCGGACACGATTCAATTTGACTGTCTCTTTCTTGAACCTGTGAGGAGATGTTGAGGAGGTAAGATGAGTGATACCAGCTCCTCTCCTCTAAGACCGCTTGCGTCATAACGTGTGGTAATGTCATCCACTTCAAGATCTTTCGTTTTTGTTAATTGATTTAAAATAACCTTGAATAACATCTGTTGATTATTGAGTTATTGTAATTTATTAAAAAAAAAGGCAATACAGGTTGATTTTTATAATGAGTCTTGTTTTTGAGTTAATAACCTGTGAAGAATGACTCATACGCCAAGTGTACAGTAAACATTTTCAGTGTCACGTTTCTAAGAGCTCTCCTCCAGACATCACTCACTCTCCTGTATATGACCGTTCATGGAGGAAGTTCTTCAACACCTCAAGTATACTTATCTCTTCCTTATACCATATACGGAGAGAGGAAGTATCATCTACCACTCATCTTTAACCACACGTCTCTCATCTTTACCACACGCATACAAACCTTGGAAGGACAGAGGAAGGAAGGAAGGGTACACTCCTTAGCGAACGTCTCTCTCTCTCTCTCTCTCTCTCTCTCTCTCTCTCTCTCTCTCTCTTTGATGTGGGTGTGGGGGAGATAATCCTTCGTCTACCCCCACTGAGAGACTCGGAGGGAGACAAAGACCTAGATTTTTTTTTCTGCTGTTAAATCACAAAGGACAAGGGATAGAGCCTTGACGACACACCAGTAATTGTGTACGGTTTCTGAAGCTAAAATCTGGAACCTGGAACCTAAAACCTGGAACCTGGAACTTGTAACCCGAAACCTGGAAACTGGGTTCTGGAACCTGGAACACCGTACTCACTCACTCCTCTACCTTATTTTCTCTCTGGTTTAACACTTTTTTTTTAACCCCCCTACATCCTTGTGTAAGGTGAAGCGTTTACAGCGCCCAACAGGGAAGCATGCTAAGTTCATGCTTGCCTTTATGTCTCATGAGTTAAGGGCTAGAAGCCTGAAGAGTCAATGGTTTATGTCTAAGCAAGTTATTGGAAGCTCCAACAACTTGTCCCTGAATACGAATTCGCAACTTTCGATTTACAGCAGGTACCTACTTTACTGCTAGGTGAACTGGGACCAAGGGAGGCTGGGAAGTGTGTCCGAACAACTTTCCACCGGCCCGGGATTCGAACCCGTGACATCTCGCTTGCGAGGCAAGAGTGTTACCGTTCTACCCACCGGCGCCCCCAATAGAGTCAGTCCATATCGAACCTAACTTAACCTCTTATCTTATCAGCTGACAACTCTGATTTATATTGATAGTGATGGGGGGAGCATCAGCAATAGATCATGTAATTTAGGGAAATTTAGTGTGTGTGTGTGTGTGTTATGGTGCACCATACCATGCTATTGGCACTGTACTACACAATACAGCGCCTTACCAAAACTCGACAACACACACACACACACACACACACCATCTTCGACACCGGCTCCTACCTCCACCAGAGATCCCTCGTCCTCGAATTGCTGTTCGACACAACAACCGCATCCAGCTCATAAGAGCACGTACTGATCTCTATAAGAACAGCCCAGTCTCAACCATTGTAAAAATTATCAACAACTTGTATCAACCAGTGTGTTTATTCCCAGTCAATCTTACCTTCTTGCACTGTCACTATGTTGAAATGCCCTGTAGCTTGAGCTTCTCCCCACCTAGTTATTATATATCATATTTGTATCACTTATGTTACTTGCATATTATTTGTAAATCAAGTAGAGTGACACAATACCACACTGTATCGTGGTATAACACACCATACCACACTATATCACCAACCCCTCCCCTTATAATAGGATCATGGCACTATAATCTGCACCATATCATCTCACAATACCACTACACTATATCACAGTACACTATAAATATCGTATTACACCACACTATAAAAGAATACGCTACCTCACACTCAGCATCGCACCATATAAACACACACTATGGACACCATACCACATCATAGCAACTCCGATCCTTCCTCTCCACCGCCTCCCATTTCATATCAGTTCCTCCTCTCCCACAGGTCCTCCTCCCTCCTCCCACAGGTCATCTCCGTCAGGTAATCACGACGACAACAATAAACAAAACCTTACGTGCCATATAACTTACCTGTCCCGGGGATCCAAAGGTCACCTGCAGCAGAAGATTTACCCCCCCTCAAAAAAAAGTCAAGTTCAGAAACGCTTTTTTTTTTTTGGTGTGTTTGAAAACTCATTTACAACTCATGATGTATTCACTTATTTTCCTCTTTCCTCTTCTCTCTCTCTCTTTTTTTGGTGATATTTTTTCTTCTTATTTTTCAGATTATTTACACTTTTGAGATGATCGATTTACAGGTGTGTTGGGTAAAGTGATTGAGTCAGTTGATCGCGGTGGGTCGAGATATAGAGAGAGGGGGGGAGGGGAGAGAGGGAGAGTGTGTGTGTGTGTGTGAGAGAGGGACTGTCAGGCACGGCATCCACCTCCAAGGAGCGCAAAACACAGACTGGTGATTGGAGATGCGTTGCCACCAGACCAGACACCACTTGTTGCCCCACGCATGCGCCCTCCCATACCTGATGCCCTCCCTCCCTCCCTTCCTCCCTCCCTCCATCCTCCCTCCCTTCATTCCCTCCTCTCACCAACTCCCCTTCCATCCCTAATCTCTCTCTCTCTCTCTCTCTCTCTCTCTCTCTCTCTCTCATCTCATTCCCTCTCTCTCCATCTTCCTCCCCTCCTTCTCTCCCCCTCCCCCTCCCCTACCTACCTACCTTCTCATATTACCTGTTGTTGCTTCTGTTGTCTTCTACCACATCTGTTGTCTTACACCACACCTGTTGTCTTCCACCACACCTGTTCCCCACCACACTACACCACATCTGTTGCCCCCTCTCCCCCCTCCCCTCACATATACCTGTTGTGAAGGTGGAGTGATGGTAGGGAAGAATGAAGGTGGACAGGTGACGTAGGTAGAGTGGAGGTAGAGAGGTGAGGTGAGGTAGAGTAGAGGTAGAGAGGTTACGTAGGTAGAGTGGAGGTAGAGAGGTGAGGTGAGGTAGAGTAGAGGTAGAGAGGTTACGTAGGTAGAGTGGAGGTAGAGAGGTGAGGTGAGGTAGAGTGGAGGTAGAGAGGTTACGTAGGTAGAGTGCAGGTAGAGAAGTGAGACGCAATAAAGATGGTGAGACGAGGTAAAGATAGTGCAGAGGTTGAGAGGTGACATAGAGAAGTGAAATAAATTAAACTAGAAAAACAGAAACACGACATAAATGAACTAATACATCACCGAGACGAGAGCAGGTGGTGATACTGGCCTCGGAGGACCTCCTGACCCGGTGCTTCCCTCTGGCGGTGAAGGGTGAGTACTGTATCGAGAACCTCCACCAGTAGACCTCCACCACTAGAACCTCCACCAGTAGACCTCCACCACGAGAGGTACAATCAAGGTAGTGGAAGTCTTTTGGTGTACAATATGATGCTCACGAGTATTATGTGTGGTTAACCTTTGTGTTTTGTTTGTTTTTGAAAGGCTCATATAAGACTCTTGGGGTATTATGAACTGGTTGTATTAAGTTGTGTTAAGTTACCGATTAAAGCAACGATGTTTATAAAATTTCATCATGGATATTAGGTGGGGGGGGGGTAAGACCACAAGACTATGCTCAAGACCACAAGATTATGTTCAAGACCACAAAACTATGTTAAAGACCACAAAACTATACTCAAGACCACAAGACTATGCTCAAGGCCACAAGACTATGTTCAAGACCACAAGACTATGTTAAAGACCACAAAACTATGTTAAAGACCACAAAACTATACTCAAGACCACAAGACTATGCTCAAGACACAAGACTATGTTCAAGACCACAAAACTATGTTAAAGACCACAAAACTATACTCAAGACCACAAGACTATGCTCAAGGCCACAAGACTATGCTCAAGACCACAAAACTATGTTAAAGACCACAAAACTATACTCAAGACCACAAGACTATGCTCAAGGCCACAAGACTATGCTCAAGACCACAAGACTATGTTCAAGACCACAAGACTATGTTAAAGACCACAAAACTATACTCAAGACCACAAGACTATGTTACATTCATGCCTGGCGACCACAAGACTATGTTCAGGACTATGCCTCAAGACCACAAGACTGTGTTCAAGACTGGCGCTCAAGACCACAAGACTATGTTCAAGACTATGCTCAAGACCACAAGACTATATGTTCATCACTATGCTCAAGACCACAAGACTATGTTCAAGACTATGCTCAAGACCACAAGACTATATTCATTACTATGCTCAAGACCACAAGACTATGTTCAAGACTATGCTCAAGACCACAAGACTATATTCATTACTATGCTCAAGACCACAAGACTATGTTCAAGACTATGCTCAAGACCACAAGACTATGTTCAAGACTATGCTCAAGACCACAAGACTATGTTCAAGACTATGCTCAAGACCACAAGACTATGTTCAATACTATGCTCAAGACCACAAGACTATGTTCAAGACTATGCTCAAGACCACAAGACTATGTTCAAGACTATGCTCAAGACCACAAGACTATGTTCAATACTATGTAAAGACCACAGGGCTATATTAAGACTGTCCAAGACCTAGGGCTATGTTCAAGACTATGCTCAAGACCACAAGACTATAATCCAAGACTATGCTCAAGACCACAAGACATGTTCAAGACTATGCTCAAGACCCTGGGAATATGTTCAAGACTATGCTCAAGACCACAAGACTATGTTCAAGACTATGCTCAAGACCACAAGACTATGTTCAAGACTATGCTCAAGACCACAAGACTATGTTCAAGACTATGCTCAAGACCACAAGACTATGCTCAGATACACCATAAGGGAGATAAAGACGGTGCTCTAAACTCTACGGGACAATGGTGGTCATGGCCCGAGGAAGGTAAATACTGAGACGACTACAACACTCTATTGGTTCCATAAAGGGCGTCTTGTGTGTGGGTGTGTTCTGAGAGAGGTGGGTGTGTGGGTGTGTCCTGAGAGAGGTGGGTGTGTGGGTGTGTCCTGAGAGGTGGGTGTGTCTGAGAGGTGGGTGTGTGTGTGTGTCCTGAGAGGTGGGTGTGTGGGTGTGTCCTGAGAGGGGTGGGGTTGGGTGGGTGTGTCCTGAGAGAGGTGTGTGGGTGTGTCCTGAGAGGGTGGTGTGTGGGTGTGTCCTGAGAGGGTGGGGTTGGAGTGGAGTGTGTCTCAGAGAGGTGTGTGGTGTGTCCTGAGAGAGGTGTGTGGGTGTGTGTGTCCTGAGAGAGGTGGGTGTGTGTGTGTGTCCTGAGAGAGGTGTGTGGGTGTGTCCTGAGAGAGGTGTGGGTGTGTGGGTGTGTCTAGAGAGAGGTGGGTGTTGGTGTGTGTGTCCTGAGAGGTGGGTGTGTCCTGAGAGAGGTGGGTGTGTGGGTGTGTCCTAAGAGAGGTGGGTGTTGGTGGGGTGTGTCCTGGAGAGAGGTGGGTGTGTGTGTGTGTCTGGAGAGAGGTGGGGTGTGTGTGGGTGTGTCCTGAGAGAGAGGTGGGTGTGTGGGTGTGTCCTGAGAGGTGGGTGTTGGTGGGTGTGTCCTGAGAGATGCGTGTGTGTGGTGTGTCCTGAGAGTGTGTGTGTGTGTGTGTGTGTGTGTGTGTGTGTCTTGAGAAAGGCGTGTGTGTGTGGGTGTGTCTTGAGGTGTGTGTGTGGATGTCTTGAGAGAGGCGTGTGTGTGTGGGTGTCTTGAGAAGGCGTGTGTGTGTGTGTCTTGAGAGAGGCGTGTGTGTGGGTGTCCTGAGAGGCGTGTGTATGTGTGGGTGTCTAGAGAGGTGTGTGTGTGTGTGTGTGTGGGTGTCTTGAGAGGCGTGTGTGTGTGTGGGTGTGCCCTGAGAGGGCGTGTGTGGGGTGTGGGTCCTAGAGGTGTGTGTGTGTGTGGGTGTCTTGAGAGAGGTGTGTGTGTGTGTGGGGTGTGTCCTGAGAGGCGTGTGTGCGTGTGTGCCTGAGGTGTGTGTGTGTGTGTGTGTCTTGAGAGGCGTGTGTGTGTGTGTGGGTGTGTGTCTTGAGAGAGGTGTGTGTGTGGGTGTTTTGAGAGGCGTGTGTGTGTGGGTGTCTGAGAGAGGCGTGTGTGTGTGTGGGGTGTCTTGAGAGATGTGTGTGTGTGTGTGTGGGTGTCTTGAGAGAGGCGTGTGTGTGTGGGGTGTGTGTCTTGAGAAAGAGGTGTGTGTGTGTGGGTGTCTTGAGAGAGGTGTGTGTGTGTGGGTGTCTTGAGAGGCGTGTGTGTGTGGGTGTGTGTCCTGAGAGAGAGGCGGTGTGTGTGTGTCGGGTGTGTGTCTTGAGGAGAGGTGTGTGTGTGTGGGTGTCCTGAGAGAGGCGTGTGTGGGTGTGTCCTGAGAGAGAGGTGTGTGTGTGTGTCCTGAGAGAGGTGTGTGTGTGTGTGGTGTCCTGAGAGAGAGGCGTGTGTGGGTGTGTCCTGAGAGAGGTGTGTGTGTGTGTGTCCTGAGAGAGAGGTGTGTGTGTGTGTGTCCTGAGAAGAGAGGTGTGTGTGTATGTGTGTCTTGAGAGAGAGGCGTGTGTGTGTGTGTGGGTGTGTCTTGAGAGAGAGGTGAGTGTGTGTGTGTGTGTCTTCAGAAAGAGGTGTGTGTGTGGGTGTCTTGAGAGAGAGGCGTGTGTGTGTGGGTGTGTCCTGAAGTGTGTGTGTGTGTGTGTGTGTGTCTTGAGAGAGGTGTGTGTGTGGGTGTCTTCAGAGGTGGGTGTGTGTCTTGAGAGGCGTGTGTGTGTGTGTGTCTTAGAGAGGTGTGTGTGGGTGTCTTGAAGCGTGTGTGTGTGGGTGTGTCTTGAAGGAGGTTTGGGTGTCCTGAGAGAAGACGTGTGTGTGGGTGTCTTGAGGCGTGTGTGTGTGGGTGTGTGTCTTGAGAGGTGTATGTGTGTGTGTGTGTCTTGAGAGGTGTGTGTGTGGGTGTCTTCAGAGAGAGGCGTGTGTGTGTGGTGTCTTTGAGAGAGGTGTATGTGTGTGTGTGTGTGTGTTGAGAGAGAGGTGTGTGTGTGTGGGTGTCTTCAGAGAGAGGCGTGTGTGTGTGGGTGTGTGTCTGAGAGAGAGGCGTGTGTGTGGGTGTCCTGAGAGAGACGTGTGTGTGGGGTGTCTTGAGAGAGAGGCGTGTGTGGGGTGTCTTGAGAGAGAGGGCGTGTGTGTGGGTGTCTTGAGAGAGGCGTGTGTGTGTGTGTGGGTGTGGTCTTGAGAGAGGGCGTCTGTGTGGGTGTCCTGAGAGAGTTGTGTGTGTGTCGGTGTCTTGAGAGAGAGGTGTGTGTGTGTGTGGGTGTCTTGAGGGAGGCGTGTGTGTGTGTGTGTGTGTGGGTGTCTTGGAGAGAGGCGTGTGTGGGGTGTCCTGAGAGAGAGTTGTGTCGGTGTCTTGAGAGAGAGGTGTGTGTGTGTGTGTGTGTGTGTGTGGGTGTCTTGAGAGAGAGGCGTGTGTGTGTGTGTGGGGTGTGTCCTGAGAGAGAG